TCTGAGTAACAACTTGGGTAAAACTGGAGTTTTACAAAAGACTTGGAAAACCCGACACCTGGGTCGGTGCTTGCGAACTAAATGGATTTTCCAAAACCGCGGACCGGGGAACGTACCGGGTGTACGGTTTCCCGCTCTTGCACCTAAGGACCGTTTCCTTGGAATTTCATCCGAACATAAGACAAGTACGACCACATGGGTGGAATGGGACACCCCTGGCTGAGTAACTAGCTTATCAGGGGAGCCTTGATGCCGAGAGACATGTGGATTCGCCGGGGTGGTGTCGGGGAGGACCCCTGGGCTTCCTGGCACAGTATGGTCTGGGACCTAACCTGTTGTTGGTCTGGGACCCCTCTCGTCGGCATATGGTAAACCTGTGTCGGCTTTCGAAATGCCTTGTCATGAAAGCTTGGAGGTCCCCCGGCGTGGCTGATCCCCACGGGCTGGGTGACCCGGGTTAGTAATGTCATGTGGGTAAAGTGTACCCCCTCTGCAGAGGTTAACAAACTGTTCGAACAGCCGTGCCCACGGACATGGGCGGATGTGAGGTGATTCCTAGCGTAGTTTTGTTTGTCTACTGCTTGTGAAATTGCTGTTGTGAAAAGGGGTTCGATGTTTGAAAAATCTGCAGCTGATGGGATCAGCTAGGCCCGGGTGGCCGTTTGGAAAGTTGTTGGCCCGGGTGGCCGTTTAAAAAGCTGTTGGCCGGGTGCCAACCTTGTTGCAATCCTAAAGATTGACACATTGCACATACTCCGACCGGACGAGACACACTGTCTCATCCGTGTCGTTTGAGAAGCACTCACTTAGTTATTTTCAGAAAAGAATTCAAATAAAATCAATTGCAAAAACAACAGCCTTCCCTTGAAGCCTGCATTAAACACTTATTTCCCCTGGCTTGCTGAGTACCCCCGTACTCACCCTTGCTCTATATAAATATCCCCCCCAGTTGCTGAAGAAGATGAAGCGGATCCTGCTGATGAGGAGTTCTTCTAGGAGCAAGCCGGCTACGATGAGTTTTAGGGTTTCGGCCTAGTTCCCAAGTCGCGCCTGTGATGTTTGGCCCAAGTCCTGGCTTCCGTTTCCCTTTTGTAATGCAGTTGTGAGCTTGGGATCTGTCCGCAGCCCAACATGACTGTACCTCTACTCTATAATAAAGAGACCTCTGTTGCTGTGGTATTCTGTCTCCCTGTGATACCAGCACTGTTTCCTGGGACTGGTATCGATTAACAGGCTAAATTGGAGCATCACGGGCTAGTTCCGGTCGGGACTAGTTCGGGGCGTGACAGATCCCATATTCGACTTCAAATGCTACAGCTATCCAACTAAACACATTCGTTTTCGGTGGACTATACAAGTCGAACCGGCACTAGAGATGATCTAACGAGGATAAGACAGGACACCCTCTATTCAACCTCGTACCAGATTGGATAATAACCTGATACAAATCAAGATAGATGTTTATATATTTATAGTACTAAAAATATGTTTTATACTATGTTCCTAAAACACAAAAATTAATCAGCGAGGCCTCTTGATATTGTCTTATCGCGCGACGCCATTCAGATTCGTCCACACACGCTGCGTCATAGCCGTTTGATCGTGGGAGAGGTGGAGAAGCCTACTACACATGCATGCCTTTTTTTATTAGACATGCATGTCTTTTTCCCCTTCTTATAAAGTTTTATCTCAAATTACTTATTCGATCTATAATCCGATTACATCAGTGTGTTTGTTATAATTAAATCTTCACAACAAGATCTTACATATTATATTACGACGAAAAAATATTTATATTTATAAATTACTTTTATTATATACTCCCTCCGTCCCAAAATATAACAACTTTTAGCCCTCAGGATTTATCCCAAAATATAACAACTTCTCCACCAACATTTTCTTGTCAACCAATCACAACCCTTCACCATTCACCTTTCTCACGTACCTTCACTACTCATCCATTCACAATTCTCCACCACTCACTTCTAACTACTTTCTTAATAACCGTATCCAACTCTAAAACTTCTTATATTTTGGGACGGAGGGAGTACGTATCGTAAGTTACTTTTATCATATATAAATTACTTTTAGATTTTATTAAATTATTTATACATTCATAATGCTCTAAGTTGATTATTTTTATTATTGTTTTTAAGTCAATTCTATAATGTATGGACTTTAAATTTAATTTTTAGATATACCATTTTTTTCTCCCTACAACGAATTTACTTCTAATGTTGTAACAAATTATTTCCATTTTGTGCTAAGTTACTTTTATGATTTATGTAAATTACTTTTAGACTTTATTTTATTTACTTTCATAAATGTATTTACTTGAAAATCTTCTCTACACTTTTGTTTGTGAATTTACTTCACATAGTTTCTTATTTCAACTCAGTCATAATGTAATTACTTTTAATACTATAGAGAGTTACTTCTATTACATAACTAAGTTACTTCTATAATTTAAATAAATTACTTTTAAATTAATAAAATGTTTCGAATATATTAACATGGATCTCGTTTTATCACATATTTCGAGCAGAGTACAATGATGCAAATAGATCTTAAAAATAATATGTGATTTAAAAGATATAAGTCATTAAAGATGTTTTAAAAAAGTACACCATTGTATTTTTTAGCTAAAGAGAGATTTATATGTGGATGAAGTGGTCGCTAATTAAAACAAACCAGCTATCGGCCGCTCCCTAGTCGCGTCCTTTCTAAAATTAGGGCTTGTCTAGTTAGTAAAAACTTTTGCCTATGCATGTCACATAGGATTATACAGATACACATTTGGAGTATTAAACATAGTATAATAACAAAACAAATTATAGATTCTACCAGGAAACTGTGAGACGAATTTATTAAGCCTAATTAATCCGTCATTAGCAAATATTTACTGTAGCACCACATTGTCAAATTATGATGCAATTAGGCTTAAAAGATTCGTCTCGCAATTTTCTAGCGAACTATGTAATTGTTTTTTTTTTGTCTATATTTAGTATTCTATACATATGTCCAAATATTCAATGTGACAGCATAAAATATTTTGTTTGGGAACTAAGCAGGCCTTTATTTTAGGATGGTGAGGGCGGGCTTATATGTGCTTCTGCCAGGAATAAGTCCATTTTTCCTCCCTCATCTCTTGCGCTTGCGTGAATAACATCCCTCAACTGGAAAACTGGGTATAACGCCTCCTTCTTCTCTGAAAACCAGAGCAAATCACCTCCCTCATTGGTTTGGCTGGCGTTTTCGTCTGACGTGGTGTCGTTGACCCGTTGACGAGCTGACTCAGCGTGGTGAGACCCACATGTCAGTGCAAACTCTCCTTTCCTTCTTCCTCCTCCCTCTCTCTCGACCTTCTCTCTCTCCCGCGGTCTCTCTCTCCACCTTGGCCAGAGCAGTGGCGGTGGCGGTAGGGAGCGACGGTGGTGGCAGACGATGTCGGAGCACTGATCGCCGTCGTACGACCAAAGTAGCGAGAACACGCAGGACGTGGAGAAGGGGAGAGAGAGAGTCATCCCCGTCACCGCCGGTGCCGCCGTCCTAGAGATCCCTCGCCGAGCTCCTGTCCTGCCACCACCGCCGTCCACCACCGCCGTCCACCACCGGTCGCCGTCCCGTGCTCCTTCGCTATCCCCGGGCGGAGAAGAAAGGAAGACCGGGGAGAGAGGGGGGGAGAGCCATCCGTCACCACGAGTTGCGTGGCCCTGGAGCGTTGCGATGCTACTGCTGGCTTCTTCCTGCGATGCTACTGAGGTTGAAGAAAGCCTCTGTCTAGGTAATTCTTTTTGGGTGTAGCTATATGTATGGCGCTATATTTTTCATCAAAAAATAGTCGGTATGTATTTATATTGTAAGTCCCTAAATTACATACGTAATTTTAGTGTATTTACAATGTAAGTCTTAAAATTACATATGTAAATTCGAAAATTACATACTATTACATATGTAAGTGGGGTGTAAATGAGGTGTAACTACTGTGTAAGTGGCTAAAAAAATCGATTGTAGCATATGGCGCCATATTTCTAGCAACTCCGTTCTTTTTCTTCTTTTCTCTCACTCACTCCATCAGCTGCTAGCTTTGCTAGCTAGGAGTAGCTAGCTGCTTGTGCTCTTGCTGTCGAGAGGAGGAAGAAAGACTCGAGGTGGTTGGCTGTCATGTTGTGCATGGCTACATTCAGAGCCCCGACGGTGATGTCATCGACTGCGTGCCGCTGCACCTGCAACCGGCGTTCGACCACCCGAAGCTCATTCATTTTTGTTTCGATTTGCAGTGATCGTTTCTATCTCCGGCGACGTTTCTTGATCGTGTTTGTGACTGTGTGCGCGTGCAGGTTGAGCCGGAGCCAGAGGAGAGGCCCAAGGTCGGCGGCGCGGCGGTGGCGCATGGGGAGGCGGCGGAGGAGGAGGTCGTGTTCCCGATGGCGTGGACGGACGAGGACGAGTCGTGCCTGGAGGGGACGATGCCGATGCGGCAGACGACGAAGCGAGACGTGCTGAGGTCCAGCTCCTCTCTCTATTTCAGGATGAAGCAGCCTCGTGCCTGCGTGCCGCTGGTGTCGTCCGCGTGAGGAAGAAGATGGGATGGGGGTTGCTAACAGGTGGGGTCCATAAGCTGACTCAGCTAGTTAATGGAGGAGCCACCGCCACGTAAGTGCCACGTAGGACAAAACCGCCTCCGAAACCGCTGAGGGAGGTGATTTCCTCTGGTTTTCAGAGAAGAAGGAGGCATTATACCTGGTTTTCCGGTTGAGGGATGTTATTCATCCAAGAGCAAGAGATGAGGGAGGTAAAATGGACTTATTCCTTCTGCCAACGGAGGTGTGTCGTGTTCTCTCGGCCGTTGGTGAAGCCATCTGCTGAAAGGAAGCCCAAGAAAAAGCTGCAAACCTGGGCTTGCGATGGGCCAGAAAATTTTCCGTAGTCGCGATGGGCTCAACCGCTCGAGACCGAAGGGTCTAGCAATTTTGGGAGGCCCAAGTAGAGGAGATGGAACATGGAAGGAGGACACTAGAAGCCGATGGGTTACAAGGTCTTCTCCTCCCGCTCGCCGGCTCCTCCTCGCACCAACTCCGGCGAGCGCGGCCTCGCCGCCGGCAGCGGCGGCGGAGGGGGTGGCATGGACCGGTGGACCGGTGTCCTCAACGTCCCGCTCTCCCGAGGTGGCCCTCCCTTCCGCGTCGCCGCCTCGCTCGTCCTTACTCCGGCCAAAACCCTCGCCGTAAGCCCCAATCCCCTGCACCGTCGTCTCCTTCCTCGCTGGCCCTCTCTCTCTCTCTCTAATCCGAGGCCTGATTCTGCCAGGTCCCATGCGCCAACGCGATTCTCTTCACGGGCGACCGCGTCCGGGGCAGCGGCGACCCGGCGATCGAGCGGCTGTCGGACGCCGCCTACCTGGCTCGGCTCCTCGCCGGGAAGCTCACCGGGGAGGCCAACGCGTGGGTGGTGGATGCCGCCTGCTTCGCTGGTTCGTTTGCAGTTTACCGAGATCTCGTTCCGTCCGTGGACGCCGTGGGCGACCCCGAGCGGTATGATCCCACTGGCTTCCCGGCGGCGGCTGGCGTTACCATCATTTTAGGACATTGCATTCGTGAGGTTTGGTAAAATTCTGTAATTTCTCTATTCTTTTATGCAATTAGAATCATTACAATCAAGCGTTTATTCGAATACTTTGTACTTGTATCTTAATATTTCCGTAGTAGTATGTTTAGATACTTACATATACAGGAGTACCATTGAATTACTGATGCAATCGTGAATTCATGAGGCACATTATTCATCACTGGTTTCAGTTATAGTTAGTATACGATGCTACAATAACTGAATTCTTGATATTTTGTTAATTTTTGGTTACCAACACAGGAATTTCGCGCTAACATTTTTTTTTGTCAACGTAAGGTTTCAGCCTGCTATATGAATCAGCTTCTCAGATTATTAGTTCACATTTGGTAAAGTAAATATGACTTTCTAAGGATGACTTGATTGGGTTTCTGGGATGGTGATTTTTGTCTTTCTTGCTTGATTTACCTTTTGACTACATGAGCAGCTACTACTGTATTTTTTTTTTTTGCTAACGTAATGCTTAGCATATTGGATATATAGATATACTGCCATGGTGCGCTAAACTTCAAGAACTTTGCTTATAAAATAAATACTTCCTAAAATAGGAGAAAACGAATGCATTATATGTTAGTTTTCTTTTTACTCCAATGCAATTTCTGTCTTGATAGTTGTTTACCTACTGAGATGTCAATTGTTTATTGCAATATCTCACTATTTTGAGTCTTCATTTCATGATTTCATCCATTTATCGTGTCAAATTATTGTGCTGAATTGCTTTGTACTGAATTGCATTTCTTCCATGCACAATTTGTGGTTACCAGATACAATCTATGGTTACGAAGGCCACAATGAAGGGTTCATCAGGCAATCAAAGTCCTACTACATCACTGTTAAAATACTGTCCTCCGAAGACTGTCATCCTGGGGTTCAGTAAGGGTGGAGTTGTTGTCAACCAGCTCGTGACAGAACTTGCCTGTTTGGCCTCAGAATCAGCAAAGATATCAGATGATGTTTCAGGATCAAGCCCACCTCTTTTAACTCGCAATCTCCTTGTTCCTATTTCAGCTACTGAGTTTTTGTCAAGTGCGTCTGAATTCCATTATGTGGATGTTGGCCTCAATCATGCTGGAGCGTACATTACCGATCATGCAGTGATTAAGGAGATAGCAAATTATCTTATGCACACTAGTAAGAATCTCTGTTTTGTCCTTCATGGTACTCCGAGGCAGTGGTCTGATCCTAACCGCTCATGGATCCAGATGGAGAAAGAGGTAATGCTGCGCTTGCTTCAAGATGAAGCTCAAAGGTGTGAAGGGAGACTTGTGTTATCCCAAAAGAGATATTTTGATGGCAAACCTCGCAGTCTGCTCATGCATTTTGAAATTTTGGAAGTAATGGACATAGGCTGACTCTATGTAAACGGTCTGTAGCTTTTTTACTCCCGTCAGGGATATGCATAGAATACCAGAATGTGAATATATCTGAGGGTCTTGGATACTTTCATCCGTGCTGACTTCACGGTATCCCATTCCATAAGTTGTTTTGTGCATGAGAATTCTTGACAGAATAATCAACCACAGTTGGATTCCTCATATCAAATGATGATCTATGAAATGTCTATAAGATGCTTTATCCACCTACCTTTCCATTTGAGACAAATGTCCACGCTGAACTTGTAAATGGTAATTGGAGCTTTCCAGCAAACGTAATTTTTTCCATTCTGACCTCAAGTTGGTCGTGATGAACTGCTGAATAGTTTGGATTACGGATGACCTGCCGGCTTACCATTCTGGTACGTTATGCTGTCACGGATACTTGTTTTTTTTTTGGTCAATTTTTTTTCCTACAGTTCAAGTGAGAACAGGTCTCTGGTATTTGCTTTGCCAAATTAGCGGCACATGGTATCTTGCTATCTACTGGCTCCATTGTACTTGTCAAATGTATCAAGACCAGTGTATTTAGCTATATGACATTTCGACAAAATCAGTCTTGGCCGTTAGGTTACCTATTTTGAGTTATGGACACACGAGCAAGGCCAAAACATGTGTGCCGGGCGTGCGACCCATCAACCTACTAGCAATAGGGGGGAAAACTTAGCAATGGAGGCCCGGCATAGAAAGTCGTGGAATTACACCATACCTGGAATTTCATCCAAATTCAACTTCTGATCAGTTTCCTGTATCAGATGTCAGAACGAACTACATGATCGTTCCATTGCTGGCCGAATTGCACAGTGCAGATTCAGCGGTGAATCATTCGTAGTCAAAAGGAAGAATATCGCCGTCCACACCAACTTTACATTATCCATCAAACAAATCATTGGTTATACTAACAAAGTACTCCGTAAGATAACACCATTAGTGGTTCTGTTAGTAAAGTAGTGGCACTATAGTATACTACTACTGCCTGCTGATCCGTGATTCCAGCTACACTCTTTTAACTGTTCTTGTCTCACTCTCTGTCGAACACCTGAACCAGTCAAACAACAGTGTGCTCGACCAAGTGGCTGCCGAATTAACAAAGTTAAAACCGGACCTGCCTTTCATTTCGTTCGGTTGACAAGTTGGCAGAATACTTCGCAGTGATATCTTAATCGTGGCATACAGTTTGGGGGTAAATTATGCCTCGGAATCCTGTCCGGGCGGCCGCGACCGGATCACGGAGCTTGGACTCTTGCGAACGGTGTCGTTGCTGCCTTTCAGGTTTTAGACGTTTAGTCGCGGTACAATCCGCAACCTCTCGCTGCGGGACAAAACTCGAGTAAAACCGCACGAACGGATCAAACGCTAGACGCCATCGGCGCGAGTCCAAAAAACTACTTTTTCGGGGGGGACGCAATATCGCCTCTTGAAACGGTCAGTTCAGAGAATCAGAGTCCCAGAGATAGATATCCTTTCTGTAATTTTTTTCCCCCTGAAATGCAATGTGGCATAGTCAGGTAGTAGCTTATCAAATGCGTCAGGTTGTTTGGGGTTTTGCGAAGCGAATGAGCTCGTATACTCGTATGCATTGCGTGGCCACTTCTCGGCGTTGGCTTCAGAGTTCAGAATTCATGGACTTCAGGAGTCCTGAATAAACCGGATTTCTGCATTGGTTTGAACTCTGAAATCGACCTGTGAAGAGAATCAAGCGATAGATTCATGCGTTCAAAGCAATGCTGCTTTCTTTTAGTAATTTCACTGGACAGCGTGACAAGTTGATGGTCATTTTCCTGCGACGCCGATAGAGTTTTCGCTGAACGGGGATTGGCACTGGCTTCAAATCAATGCAATCGGTGAATTATTCTAGCTGCTGTGCTCGTTACTACCCATGAGACAATTGCGACGGGATGATGTGGATGCCGTGGTTTCTAGCAGGGTACGACAGTGGTAGGCGTGTCTGCTCATTTCTTTACAGTGCATATACCAATCGTATCTCTTTTCTCTGCCTGTCTATTCGTCTCCATCCTTGTGAATGTAACCACTTAATTACCTGGCTCTGATAGCAAAATATCGTATAGGGACAGTTCGCTTATAAACTAATCCAGCTACTGAATGACCGAATTAGCGTAGTAATCTTCTGCCACGATTGAGGACAAAATAAAGAGTGTAGAGAGCGCAGACTGCAGAGAAGTCCAGTAGAACAATACCGGTAAGCAAGCACGTTAGTCGAGCCGCTGATGATTGGTCAGTGGTGTATTCTAATCTGGTACCCTATTAAGTATGAGAGCAAAAACTGGACCAAGCTTGGAGAACAGGAGTACATACTACTATTAGATAAGGTGTACATTATACAGTGATGTAGTATGTATCAGGGGTCACAATTCCGACGAAAATCGGTTGAATTCTGCGAAATTTCAAGGTTTTGATGAGGCTTGAAAGTAGAAGCCATATGAGATTTCGATGAGTTTTATCTAAATTCAAATTTGAATTGATAAAAAAGAAAACAATCAAATAAAATCTTGTAAATAGTATGATATTCATAGAATTTATTGGGATATAAATTTTTGAAAAAAATGATGTATTTCACGTATTTACTGAAATTTATAGTAGGAAAGAAAATAATAACGAATTAAAAAAGGGGAAAAATAAGTTTACCTCTTTTACCGATTGAAATTTCGATTATTTCGCCAAAGCCGACCGGTTTTCGCGAGCTTATCGGTAAACTCAAGAAATTTATATTTAAATTTTGGTTTATGAAATTTGTTTGGAATCTACCGGCTTTTCACCGGATTTCACGAAAACCGTTGTTCCACCAGAGCACGAAACGGAAGGCTATCTCGAAATCGTAAACCCTTTATGTATATCTTCGTCCAGTTGGCCAGTTGCATGCGAACAGATTAAGGATTCGCTGGGAAACAAACTGGATAAGCTAACTCAAATTAAAACGCGTGGCGCGGTACGCGACCTGGCACGCTGTGTGCTGTGTGCTTCGCTGCCGTGCGGTACGGGTGCGTGTCTGGAGGCAGGCCGGCCGGCCGGCCGCCTCGCTCTCGCGTTGCGTTCGCGTCGGCCCGCCCGATCCGGAGGGACCGACCCACAGATCACGCGCGCTGACGCGTAGCGAGCGTCCGACAAAACTGGACGGGGGCCGCGCGCTCCCGGGCGTGTGCCGTACTAGTAGTAGCCCGTAGGACGGGGTCCAAAGCGCAGCGCGCGCGACGTCGGGTACTCGGACTCGGGTGGCCGGGTGGGGGGCGTGCGCGTGTGTGGCCGGCGATAAGTTGGCGTTTGGCGCGCGTGGTCAAGGCGCCGAACAGTGTTTGGCTGTTGGGGTTGGGCTGGAACTTGGAAGTCCGCTCTAGCGTTTGACTTGGTTCTGCCTGGTCCTTCTAGCAAGGTGGTGGCAATCACAAATTTTTGGAGTGTTTGCATCCACGGTTACTACAGTAACCTCGTGCAGTAACCGTTGTGGTTTTTTTATCTTAGTTTTAGTAACCTCTTAATTTTTATTTTAGAAAAGGCTATACGCACTAATTTTTTCTTACTAAATTCTTACTAACACTGATGTGTCCTATGAGTGCATCTAAATTTTTTATAACTTACATATACTTAAATCAAACGGTTGAGATAATTGTTAGTAAAAGTTTAGTAAGAAAAATTTAGTATGTGTAGCATTGCTCTTTTATTTTTTAGAGTGTATGAGATTTTTACCGCACGGTAAGTAGGTTACCGTGGTACCTGCTCTCGGTAGGAGTAATCCCTTTCCAAACAGTAGAAATCTGTCGCATGGTTTGACGTGGATTTTAGCGGCGATGTGTGTCACCTTTCTTTCACGGCTTGTAAAGCCTTGAATTTGGAACAGAAACATAGTTTCATTTTACGTATATAATTTTAAACGAAATTCGAGATTTTTTTCACTTCGGTTGTATTTCACGTACGACCAGTACGTGACAACCCCCACCATATATTTTTTAATATATATAGAGAGAGTGAGTGAGTTTAGAAACAATAAAATATACGGCATCATCTTTTCTCTTATACTTATGTTTATCAGCTAAAATTTAAATTTTCAACCATAAATTTATAGCTGATTTTAAGATTTTTTCATCGAATTTTATTTTCCAACCTTTTATTTTAGATCAATAAGAACACGTATATAAAAGTTTTATTCATAAATTATTTTCCGTTTGCGAATATGTTGTTTAGCTTATTCCACCAAACAGCTGAATGATATGGCTGATAATTTTCTGAATAGCTAACCTTCAAACACGAATGGTAATCCATAATTTCCGGCTACTGATGACTTTTTACAAGGCGCTAAAAAGGGCTAGGTTGTCAGTTGTCACGTACTCCTACAATCTCTATCAGAGCAAATCTGTTGGCGGCAGCTAGTGTGGCCATGCATGCGTACAAGCTCACGCACGTTCTTGTCCAGTACTGCTACTTCTGCTAGGCTGCTACTTCTCCGTGGGAAACAGTAAGAACACGAAACCGAGACGTGTCAAGCAGCGCTTGAGCTAGCGGCCCCCCTGCTCGCTTGGCGTAGCAGCAGGCGGCGGCGGCGGCAAAAACTCGATCTGGTGACATGACGGCATGCATCGTGGCGCCACGGCCTGCTCGACACGTTGGTGAACGGCTATCGATCGATCGATCGATCGATCGTTTCGTCGCGATCAGCCCAATCCACGCACCTGGTCGTCCGGCACCGCTTCATTTAATCGTTGGGCGCGTACTTCTTCCCGAAGTTTTGGTACACTCATCTTTTTGAAAGAAATACTCCCTCCATACTTATAAAGAAAGTCATGTTTAAATCAAACTTTAAAAATATAAATCATGAATAACTCTTAAGTTATTGAGTTTGAAAATATAAAAATTATATGAATAGATTTGTCTTGAAAAATACTTTCATAAAAGTATACATATATCACTTTTCAATAAACTAGGAAGGTAGCCCGCGCATTCGCGCGAGCATGTATCGTAGGCTGCATTTGAGATACTCGTAAGTAATAGGCCGATTGTGTTAAAATGTCGTATTTGTTATATAGTAAACTATAGGCATATGGATCTTATATCGTTGGTTTGATTATAAACAGAGCAATAGTTAGATTAGAAATCAAACGTGAAACTTATAATTATAGATTATTTATATTTTAGTTAAATAGGAACGTAAGAGAAATGAAAAGTGTAGAGCTTGAGCCAGAGAGGGGAAGGAGCG